CCTGGTAAGGATTCAAAATGTAACGAGTACTTTTGTCACGTCTACTCCCGCTCCCCCTCTCCAGCGCTCGAGGTCGCCAGTTGACTGTTCATTACGCACACCTGCCACCATCGTTACGCGCACATGCACGGTATTATGAGACTCACCTGGACTCCATCATCTTCCTGATTACCTCCCCTATATCTGTCTTTGGGTTATTCCCCAGGCAGTATTGTTATTGCTCCAGTGTTTCATGGTGCGCTTCTCGTGGTTCTTGTTTTGTTTCATTTATTATTAAATTCACTCCCTGTACTTGCTTCCTGACTCCCAGCGTACACGTTACACTTTTGGGTGTCAGGGAAAATGTATGGAGTAAAAAGTACATTATTTTCTTTAGGAATGTAGTGAAGTAAAAGTAAAAGTTGTCAAAAATATAAATAGTAAAGTACAGATACTGCCCAAAATGACTTAAGTAGTACTTTAAAGTATTTTTTACTTAAGTACTTTACAACAGCGCTATCAGGCCTATAGAGGACGTCTGATGTCATCAAGGTTATGACAGCTCTGCTAGACATCAACAACAACAACAACAAGTGTCAACTACATGGATATTAATGAAGGCCTGTGCAGCTCCAATACTTCTCCTGAGGCGGATGGCGGAGGCAGACTAGTCAGTCACCTCGATCAGATGGAGGGTGGAGAACCTTGATCAGATAGCGAGGTAGGGAGGGTGGAGAACCTTGGAAACATTACACACAGAGCTGCAAGGTTGAAGTACACTACATGACCAAAAGTATGTGAACACCAATCCAAAATCATTGGCATTAATATGGAGTTGGTCCCCCCCTTTGCTGCTATAACAGCCTCCACTCTTCTGGGAAGGCTTTCCACTAGATGTTGGAACATTGCTGCGGGGACTTGCTTCCATTCAGCCACAAGAGAATTAATGAGGTTGGGCACTGATGTTGGGTGATTAGGCCTGGCTCGCAGTGGACGTTCCAATTCATCCCAAAGGTGTTCGATGGGGTTGAGGTCAGGGCTCTGTTCTTCCACACCGATCCCGACAAACTATTTCTGTAAGGACCTCGCTTTGTGCACGGGGGCATTTTCATACTGAAACAGGGTAGGGGCCTTCCCCAAACTGTTGCCACAAAGTTGGAAGCACAGAATCATCTAGAATGTCATTGTTTGCTGTAGCGTTAAGATTTCCCTGGAAACCCATTTCATGAAGCTCCTGTTATTGTGCTGACGTTGCTTCCAGAGGCAGTTTGGAACTCGGTAGTGAGTGTTGCAACCGAGGACAGACTATTTTTACGCACTACGAAGAAGAACTAAGATGAAGAAGAGAAGTGTGAGTTACAAGGAGGGGTGTTTGTTATTCTGAAGCGTTCAGGTTATAGACATTAACATACAGTGCATTTGGAAAGTATTCAGACCACTTTACCTTTTTCCACATTTTGTTACGTTACCACCTTGAATTTAAAAAATGGATTAAATTGAGATTTTGTGTCACTGGCCTACACACAATACCCCATAATGTCAAAGCTGGAATTATGTTTTTAGAAAACTTTACAAATGTATTCAAAATTAAAAGCTGAAATGTCTTGAGTCAATAAGAATTCAACCCCTTTGTTATGGCAAGCCTAAATAAGTTCAGGAGTACAAATTTGCTTAACAAGTCACATAATACGTTGCATGAACTCACTCTGTCCCCCCCCCCCCCCCCCACTCTCTCTGCAATAATAGTGTTTAACATGATTTTTGAATGACTACCTCATCTCTGTACCCCACACATACAATTATCTGTAAGGTCCCTCAGTCGAGCAGTGAATTTCAAACACAGATTCAACCACAAAGACCAGGGAGGTTTTCCAATGCCTCACAAAGAAGGGTACCTATTGGTAGATGGGTAAAAAAATATTAAAGCAGACATTGAATATCCCTTTGAGCATGGTGAAGTTATTAATTACACTTTGGATGGTGTATCAATACACCCAGTCACTACAAAGATACAGGCGTCCTTCCTATCTCCGTTCCCGGAATGGAAGGAAACCGCTCAGGGATTTCACCATGAGGCCAATGGTGACTTTAAAACAGTTACAGAGTTTAATGGCTGTGATGGGAGAAAACTGAGGATGGATCAACAACATTGTAGTTACTCCACAAAAAAATGTATGCACTCACTAACTGTAAGTGGCTCTGGATAAGAGCGTCTGCTAAATGACTCACTAACTGTAAGTCGCTCTGGATAAGAGCGTCTGCTAAATGACTCACTAACTGTAAGTCGCACTGGATAAGAGCGTCTGCTAAATGACTCACTAACTGTAAGTCGCTCTGGATAAGAGCGTCTGCTAAATGACTCTCTAACTGTAAGTGGCTCTGGATAAGAGCGTCTGCTAAATGACTCTCTAACTGTAAGTGGCTCTGGATAAGAGCGTCTGCTAAATGACTCACTAACTGTAAGTGGCTCTGGATAAGAGCGTCTGCTAAATGACTCACTAACTGTAAGTCGCTCTGGATAAGAGCGTCTGCTAAATGACTCACTAACTGTAAGTGGCTCTGGATAAGAGCGTCTGCTAAATGACTCTCTAACTGTAAGTGGCTCTGGATAAGAGCGTCTGCTAAATGACTCTCTAACTGTAAGTGGCTCTGGATAAGAGCGTCTGCTAAATGACTCACTAACTGTAAGTGGCTCTGGATAAGAGCGTCTGCTAAATGACTCACTAACTGTAAGTCGCTCTGGATAAGAGCGTCTGCTAAATGACTCACTAACTGTAAGTCGCTCTGGATAAGAGCGTCTGCTAAATGACTCACTAACTGTAAGTTGCTCTGGATAAGAGCCTCTGCTAAATGACTATAATATAAAAATGTAAAAGACAGAGTGAAAAGAAGGAAGCCTGTACAGAATAAAAATATTCCAAAACATACATCCTGTTTGCAACAAGGCACTAAAGTAAAACTGCAGAAAATGTGGCAAAGAAATTAACTTTATGTCCTGAATACAAATATTTATGTTTGGGGCAAATCCAACACAACACATCACTGAGTACCACTCTCCATATTTTCAAGCATGGTGGTGGCTGCATCATGTTATGGGTATGCTCGTCATTGGCAAGGACTAGTGATATATATATAGAGAAGCGGAATGGAGCTAAGCACAGGCAAAATCCTAGAGGAAAACCTGGTTCAGTCTGCTGTCCACCAGACACTGGGAGACAAATTCACCTTTCAGCAGGACAATAACCTAAAACACAAAACCAAATATACACTGGAGTTGCTCACCAAGATGACATTGAATGTTCCTGAATGGCCTAGTAGCAGTTTTTACTTAAATCTTCTTGAAAATCTATGGCAAGACTTGAAAAATGGTCTAATCCTGAATGCTGATTGGTTAAAACTGCATTCCAGCCGGTGTCTATTTCACAAATTACCGCCTGCTAAATCTATGACATTGAAATGCCTATTAACTCTGTTCCATCTGACTGCCCAATCCACTGTCCCATCAGCCCAGGCAGCCACTTTATAAACTTGATCTCCACTTTAAAAAGCATCTAGACATTATCTCCTATTTCTTTTAGACTAGCATTTGGTTTTCAACAGCAGAGATTTGTATAAACCTTGCTGTCTGTTTCCCCGACCTTTTCAATATTGAATTGCGATCTCCACCGTCCCATATCAAGTGAATGTGACCGACAGCAAATTGAGCTGGTTGTCATAGCAACATACACAACTTTTGTTGTTGTTGACTAAATCGATACTTTGTTGCGAAAACTGAAATGAATGAGTGGAGCATTTCTTTTCATCTTTTTGACTATGGGATGTCAATAATACCCAGGCATGCAGATTTGGGTGGCACTGCATTGAATGACCTAGAGAAAAGCCACAACGAAAAAAATATATATAAAACACAGTTAAGAATACAAATTGGGCTGTGTGGTGCTTCGAGGGCTGGCTAGCAGAGAAGAAAAAAAGCTGTTGGCTTCAAAACTGTCACTAAGGAAGAGTTTAACATCCTTCTCCGACAGTTTTTTGGAAATGTAGGAAATGTGAAGGGGGACCAGTACAGGATAAGTAGCTGCCAGGGACTCCGGAATGGGCTCAACCTGTTTCTAAATTACCCACCCATCGGTCGCAGCTGGTGCCTTATGAAGGACACTTAATTTACCACCTCGAATCATGTATTTCTGGGCAACATCAAAACAGCTATGAAGGCAAGGAACATATATCACAAACAGCCACCCTCCCATCACCGATAAGGACATAGCCTGTTTGTCTATAAATCACTGCTAGGCAAATTATCGCCTTATCTTAGCTCATTGGTCACCATAGCAACACCCACCCGTAGTATGCTTTCCAGCAGGTATATCTCACTGGTCATTCCCAAAGCCAACACCTCCTTTGGCCGCCATTCCTTCCAGTTCTCTGCTGCCAATGACTGGAACGAACTGCAAAAATCTCTGAAGCTGGAGACTCTTATCTCCCTCACTAACTTTAAGCATCAGTTGTCAGAGCACCTTACCGATCACTGCACCTGTACACAGCCCATCTGAAATTAGCCCACCCAACTACCTCATCCCTATATTGTTATTTACATTGTTATTTATTTTGCTCATTTGCACCCCAGTATCTCTATTTGTACATCATATTCTGCACAGCTATCTCTCCAGTGTTAATACTAAATTATAATTGTAATTATTTTGCACTATGGCCTATTTATTGCCTTACCTCCATAACTTACTACATTTGCACACACTGTATATAGATTTTATATTGTATTTTTGACTTTATGTTTTGTTTTACCCCATATGTAACTCTGTTGTTTTTTATCAGCACTGCTTTGCTTTATCTTGGCCAGGTCGCAGTTGTAAATGAGAACTTGTTCTCAACTGGCTTACCTGGTTAAATAAAGGTGAAATAAAAAACAAAAAAATAAAAAAAACAGAGCCCAGCTCCAAAACGCCCAGGCTCTGAATCCCGGTACACCAAGGGTTCTGGTCCAGAAAGTGTTGTTCGACCTCCAGTTACATCTGGGTCGAAGAGGAAAAGAGGGGAACAGACAACGAAAGCCCAACTTATTCCTCGTAAAAACAGACGACAACGGTCTAAGGTATGTTGTTCATAGCCTGTTTGTGTTATTTCTAAGTTGCACTCGTAATTAGGCATCTGGAAAACAATATTATAACAACGCATTCACTCTCTAGGATACGCCACTCTCGCATATAACGAGGCCACAAAGAATCATCTGGACCCAAGGGAGAGGGGATTCATGCTCGAGCAGCCAGGGAACCCACTATGCCCGGTGGCATCACCCGGAGAAATATCTATCGAAATGCCCAGAGAAAAGCCCTTGCATTTTATCTCCACCCAAGGAGAGGCGAGTATATCGGGGACTCGATCTGGTACACGTCAGAGCCGATGGGCGTGAACTAGCAGCACTTCTACCCAAGATCTGCAGGGCAGCGGGAACACCTACATACACACATCACAGCATCAGGACCACGACAGTCCAGAAACTGGCCAATGCTGGTTTAGAAGCGAGGGAGATGATGTCAGTAGGTGGGCATCGGTGCGAAGGTTCGCTCCATAGCTACTGGCGTCCCTTACTGACAGACAGAAAACGCTGGAGCAACATCCTGGCTGAAAACAAAAAGAACACCGCAGCACCATCAACACCCAAAAGGCTGAAGCAAGGCAGCAGAAGTTGTAGCAGACAGATATTTCAACCAATGCACCATCCAGGAGAGTGTACAGATAAATGTGACATACGATAAGTAGCTATAGCTATGTCAACGGTGGTGGATAACAAAGATAATGTATGGTTTCATTTATTAAAATCAGCTCAAATGAATGTCATGGATTGTCTTTCTTTTGTCTGAACAAGAGAACACATTTTCTCTGCCAGGCAAAGTCGCGCATCATAAACTGATTGTTATGGATGTTTAAGTGACAACGCCAGAGAAGCCGGTGTTTGTTGGATATATTGGCACGGGTGGTGTTAGGCCTGAGACGAAGTCACAAAGTTCAGACAGAATAACAGCCAGCAAAGTAGCTGCATTTGCATTTGTTTTAGCTGTTTTCTAGGTGACATTTATTTGGATACATCCATAACAATCAGCTTATGATGCGCGACTTTGCCTGGCTTAACTTTTTTGATGTAACTGTAAATTAGCCGTAGTTGGCTAGCAAGGGGAAATAACGTTGCCAGCCAGTATGGCAATGGAACATTTAGAATGGATGACTGGGTCGCGTCCATAGATACAGAACAAAAAGACTGAACGACTGGGTCGCATCCATAGATACAGAACAAAAAGACTGAACGACTGGGTCGCATCCATAGATACAGAACAAAAAGACTGAACGACTGGGTCGCATCCATAGATACAGAACAAAAAGACTGAACGACTGGGTCGCGTCCATAGATACAGAACAAAAAGACTGAACATTTACATTTACATTTTAGTCATTTAGCAGACGCTCTTATCCAGAGCGACTTACAGTTAGCACATACATTATTTTCTCGAACCCACAACCCTGGCGTTGCAAACGCCATGCTCTACCAACTGAGCTACATCCCTGCCGACCATTCCCTCCCCTACCCTGGACGACGCTGGGCCAATTGTGCGCCGCCCCATGGGTCTCCCGGTCGCGGCCGGCAACGACAGAGCCTGGATTCGAACCAGGATCTCTAGTGGCACAGCTAGCACTGCGATGCAGTGCCTTAGACCACTGCGCCACTCGGGAGACCTAGACGACTGGGTCGCGTCCATAGATACAGAACAAAAAGACTGAACGACTGGGTCGGTCCATAGATACAGAACAAAAAGACTGAACGACTGGGTCGCGTCCATAGATACAGAACAAAAAGACTGAACGACTGGGTCGCATCCATAGATACAGAACAAAAAGACTGAACGACTGGGTCGCGTCCATAGATACAGAACAAAAAGACTGAACGACTGGGTCGCGTCCATAGATACAGAACAAAAAGACTGAACGACTGGGTCGCATCCATAGATACAGAACAAAAAGACTGAACGACTGGGTCGCGTCCATAGATACAGAACAAAAAGACTGAACGACTGGGTCGCATCCATAGATACAGAACAAAAAGACTGAACGACTGGGTCGCGTCCATAGATACAGAACAAAAAGACTGAACGACTGGGTCGCGTCTCTACCAACTCTAGATTTGTGTCGGGACTATATCTTGTGGAAGGATGAAATAGTAGGAATGCATTAATCAAAATAACGTTTTTAATGAAATTATGTCAATCATTATTTGAATATGTTGGTAACCCGTTGTATAAAAGTGATAATGCCCTCGAAGCCAGTGTTTGGAGGGTATATTGGCAAGGTTTTTGCCGGCCCTTGACTTCCTCTCTGGCCTAACAACACCCGTGGCAATATATCCAACAAACACCAGCATCTCCAGCATTATCACTTAATTAGCTCAAGGGTGAGAATACTTATGTAAATTGATATTTCTGTTTGTTATTTTCAATAAATGTGCAAACATTTCACTTTGTCATAATGGGGTATTGCGTGTAGATGGGTGAGAAAAAAAATCTATTTAATCAATTTTGAATTCAGGCTGAAACACAACAACATGTGGAATAGGTCAAGGGTCTGAATACTTTCTGTAGGCACTGTAGATCTTCATGGTGTTGTTGTTATTATCGGGTTCATTAAAATCATTGCTTCTTGGAGCTAACCCCCATGTTGTTAACTGTTTAAATCCTCTAGTATCTTGTCAGGCAAAGTGAAACCATATCTATATGAAGTAAATAAGAGAGCAAAGATGGGAGGATGAGAATGAGGAGAGGAGGCGGGGCAAGGACTAACAACACCATGCCAACGGTAAGCACTAACAACACCATGACAACGGTAAACACTAACAACACCATGACAATGGTAAGCACTAACAACACCATGACAACGGTAACACTAACAACACCATGCCAACGGTAAGCACTAACAACACCATGCCAACGGTAAGCACTAACAACACCATGACAACGGTAAGCACTAACAACACCATGCCAACAGTAAGTACTAACAACCCCATGCCAACAGTAAGCACTAACAACACCATGCCAACGGTAAGCAATAACCAACCACCATGCAACAGTAAGTACTAACAACCCCATGCCAAACGGTAAGCACTAACAACACCCATGACAACGGTAGCACAACAACCACCAACATAAGTATACATCCATGACAACGGTAAGCACTAACAACCCCATGACAACGGTAAGCACTAACAACCCCATGACAACGGTAAGCACTAACAACACCATGACAACGGTAAACACTAACAACACCATGACAACAGTAAGTACTAACAACCCCATGCCAACGGTAAGCACTAACAACCCCATGCCAACGGTAAGCACTAACAACACCATGACAACGGTAAGCACTAACAACCCCATGCCAACAGTAAGCACTAACAACCCCATGCCAACGGTAAGCATTAACAACACCATGACAACGGTAAGCATAACAACACCATGCCAACGGTAGGCAGTAACAACCCCATGACAACGGTAAGCACTAACAACCCCATGCCAACGGTAAGCATACAAACCATGACACGTAGCATAGACCATGACAACGGTAAGCACTAACAACACCACGCCAACGGTAAGCACTAACAACACTATGTCAATGGTAAGCAATAACAACAATATGTCAATGGTAAGCACTAACACCACCATGCCAATGGCTCTGCTGTACGTTGTGTTTTGACTCGGTACAGTAACGCTCTGCTGTACGTTGTGTTTTGACTCGGTACAGTAACGCTCTGCTGTACGTTGTGTTTTGACTCGGTACAGTAACGCTCTGCTGTACGTTGTGTTTTGACTCGGTACAGTAACGCTCTGCTGTATGTTGTGTTTTGACTCGGTACAGTAGTTATAATAGAGACATACAGAGAGCAGATGACACCCTATTCCCTCTACAGGGCCCATAGGGTAGTGCACTACGTAGGGGATAGGGTGCCACCCTGGTCAACAGTAGTGCACTATGTAGGGGATAGGGTGCCACCCTGGTCAACAGTAGTGCACTACGTAGGGGATAGGGAGCCACCCCTGGTCAAACAGTAGTGCAACTACGTAGGGGATAAGGGTGCCACCCTGGTCAACAGTAGTTGCACTACATAGGGGATAGGGAGCCACCCTGGTCAACAGTAGTGCACTCGTAGGGGATAGGGTGCCACCCCTGGTCAACAGTAGTGACTACGTAGGGGATAGGGTGCCACCCTGGTCCAACAGTAGTGCAACTACGTAGGGGGGATAGGGGCCACCCTGGTCAACAGTAGTGCACTGACGTAGGGGATAGGGTTGCCACCCTGGTCAACAGAGTGCACTACGTAGGGGATAGGGTGCCACCCTGGTCAACAGTAGTGCACTACGTAGGGGATAGGGTGCCACCCTGGGTTCAACAGTAGTGCACTAACGTAGGGGATAGGGTGCCACCCTGGGCAAAGTCCGTGCACTAATGTAGGGGATAGGGTGCCACCGGCTGGTCAACAGTAGTGCACTACGTAGGGGAGAGGGTGCCACCCCTGGTCAACCAGTATGCACTACGTAGGGGATAGGGTGCCACCCTGGTCAACAGTAGTGCACTACGTAGGGGATAGGGAGCCACCCTGGTCAACAGTAGTGCACTACGTAGGGGATAGGGTGCCACCCTGGTCAACAGTAGTGCACTACGTAGGGGATAGGGTGCCACCCTGGTCAACAGTAGTGCACTACGTAGGGGATAGGGTGCCACCCTGGTCAACAGTAGTGCACTATGTAGGGGATAGGGAGCCACCCTGGTCAACAGTAGTGCACTACGTAGGGGATAGGGTGCCACCCTGGTCAACAGTAGTGCACTACGTAGGGGATATGGGTGCCACCCTGGTCAACAGTAGTGCACTACTAGGGGATAGGGTGCCACCCTGGTCAACAGTAGTGCACTATGTAGGGGATAGGTGCCACCCTGGTCAACAGTAGTGCACTACGTAGGGGATAGGGTGCCACCCTGGTCAACAGTAGTGCACTACGTAGGGGATAGGGAGCCTACCCTGGTCAACAGTAGTGCACTACTAGGGGATAGGGTGCCACCCTGGTCAACAGTAGTGCACTAGTAGGGGATAGGGTGCCACCCTGGTCAACAGTAGTGCACTAGTAGGGGATAGGGTGCCACCCTGGTCAACAGTAGTGCACTATCGTAGGGGATAGGGAGCCACCCTGGTCAACAGTAGTGCACTACGTAGGGGATAGGGTGCACCCTGGTCAACAGTAGTGCACTACGTAGGGGATAGGGTGCCACCCTGGTCAACAGTAGTGCACTAGTAGGGGATAGGGTGCCATCCTGGGTCACAGATGCA